CGAGCAAAATGTGTTTTGCAAAAAAAAAAATCATTCGGGATTCGGGAGACAAAGACAAAGGTCCCCCGTATAGCCCTCAACAGAATGTGTGGTGGTGGTGGTGGTAGTGGGGGGAGGGGTGGCTGCAGCGAGGTGAGTTGCACCTACTAAGCCCTACACGGTACACGAGTGCCGGTGTTTAAACACCGTACCAGGTACTCGTTTAAGTCTGGGTCCGGTTCGATCGATCTCGGGGTCGCCGGGTTCTCAGCGCTGCACTACCTCTGTACCACTTTTGACAAACAAAGTGGCATTTGCGCACTCGGAGAGGGGACGGAAGCAGGGCTGGCTTCAGTTCGGCTTCAACGAACGCGTCAGCAATACCGAGCGGGCAGCTGTGCGACTTAACGGCCACCGTCGTTCGCCAAGACTTTGTTTGCGATGGTGCCGATGGCAAAAGCAGCAGCTGTGAATGTGGCAGCCAGGTGTGCGGCCATTGATGTTAACCACCTCGCCTGGTGTGCAGGAGGTCGTGGGTTCGATCCCGACCCTGACGCCTGCTGCTGTATATTTGGTGTTCGCGTGGAATTTTTCTCCGGATCCTGCGGTTTCCTTCCCCACCCCCGCCCCCCCACCCCGTTTTTAGAATTTAACACATTGAAAAAACACGCGTTTTGAGTGTTTGTCTGCAAAACAAAATGTCCACGTGATAAGCCACTTCGTTGAGCTATAGGTGTGTGGTCGCTTCTGAAAAAGAACTACGTAGCTCATTGAGCCTTGCCTGCTAAAATAAAATGTTAAATTCAGTAGGTAGAGGCACAAAATAACAACACTGGCCTAAGGTATGAGTTTAAATCTTGCCTAGAGCGTGACTATTCTGGGGGCCTCGGGCAGGGCCACGTGTCAGTAGACATCACCTGCCTCTTACGCAATATTCCCTTTGAAGACCACGATTTGTTATTGTCGAACGCGGCGAATTAGTTGGGCCATTTGCATTCGTGGGGCGCTCTAAATATCGACTCACTCGAGGCTCGCGGATTGATGGTCTCATTCGCGTCAACCAGTGATTGCACACAACAACAAACGACAACAACGACCGCCATCCGCGACGAAGTGGCGGTGAGGTAACCACGGCGCTTGTGCCAGGCTAGGTGCACGTTAAGGCCACGTGAAGTGTCGAACGCTCGCTTGCAGGAGGTCACGGGACAGACCCAGCAGGTGCCATGGGTCGACTGACTTGAAATGACCGGCCGATGCACCATCTGTGCCCCCTACTGTGCACACGCACGCACACACACAAAAACCATTAAGTGGTCTGTCACTTATGTTGGCTGAATTCCAGCTCTGAGAATCGTCCAAAACCCTCAACTTGACCCCACGTACCGTATTCCCCAGATTATAAGACGCTACGGAACGTAAGACGGTTACCCCAAACTTATGCTCGTTGTACAATGCTGCCAGCGAGTAGCACCTCATGAAGGCCGGCACGGCACGCGAAGGGGGTTGTGGGTGGCCAGCAACACAGCGCCAGCCGCCTTTGTTCCACCGCAGTGTACGAATTTGAGGCTGAGTCGACCTAGGGGAGGCCTAACACCGGTTTCAGATATTCGTCACCGATATTGGACGCGAGCGGGAATCGAATTCGTAGCGGAGCGCGCCTACAACAGACTGTTGGGGCCAGTGCTGTTAGCGAGTAGCAGCACCTATGAAGGCCGGAACGGCACACGAGGGAGTGGGTGGCCAGCACCACAGCTGACCGCCTTTGTCTCCCCAGTGGCGATGTTTACACACCACACAAGGTACTCGTTAGAGGCTGAGTCGACCTAGTGGAGGAGGCCCAGGACCGGTTAAGATCATCGTCACAGGTGTTGGCCGTGAGCGGGAATCGTACTCGGCTCTCCGGGTTCGTAGCGCAGCTCGCTAACCGCTACACCACCGCTCTCCACCAAAATAACACGCAAACACAACAACATCAACCGCCATTCGCGACTAAGTGGCCGTGACATCACTACGACGCATGTGCCAGGCTATGTGCACGTTAAGGTCACGTGAAGTGTCGAACGCCCACAGGAAGGAGGTCACGGGACAGGTGCTATGGGTTGACTGAATGAGATGACTGGCCGATGCACCACCTGTGCCCCCTACTGTGCCAACTTGCCGTGCTTTAGCCACCCGACGCTCCGCTCGTTGTTGTGAGCGTCGCCCCTCTGCCCTCCGTTGTTGTTGGAGGGCGACTGCCTCCAACTGCCCAGTAGCAGCGTCCTTCATGAGCCTCAGCCACAGAGGCCGATCTTAACACCGCTGGTACCAGTCATTGGCAAGTCCACTCAGCTCCACATTCTCTTGTACCACATCACCCCATGTCTTATCTAGCTCGTGCCGCGCCCAATTAGCCCCCTCTATCCGACCGAACAAAAGTTATATTCTTAGCTCTTTCGGTAAAGTCACGTTGAAGGGAAACAATAAATATAAAATATATATTTTATTATTTACTGCAGTCACGAAAGCTTTAAATCAAAATCGAACAAAAGTTGTTTAGGCATGCGTTGACTGGGAATGTGGGCTACATTAACCCAGCCAACGCAACCTTGCCTGCCGGAGAAGCTCACCGATAGGACATTGTCCAGAACTTTCAGAGATTCGTACGGATCTTGATTTGAAGCTTTCGTGACTGCAGGAATCCATACTCTCTGGTTCTTTCGGTAAAGTCATGTAGATAGAAAACATAATAAAAGAACCAGAGAGCATGGATTCATACAGACATACACACACATGCACATACACATGCTCTCTCTCTCCTCTCCACCGATTACCAGCAGCCACGACCGAACCTCCTCCCGTCCTCCTTTGCACGCTCCGTCTCTAACGGCCTCGTCTCTCCTCCCTCCGCTCCTCACGAACAAACGACGTTCCTCCTGCAGCATCGACGAGCCGAGCTGGGGAGGGGTAGTGGTGGTGGCGGTTGTGGACTACCCTCCCGGCTGGGTCAAGTGTCGGAGCCGTCACCACCGCTCGCTCTCGTTGAGTTTCGTTCGCGAAACGATCGTAGTCGCGTCTCTTCCCTCTGTTAACTCTGAGAGCAGAGGCATACAGCATTCCCTCGCTGGTTCGCGAGAGATGCGTTCCGGAGATGCTCGTAAAAAGCCAATTCCGCGGATAATGACATTGGCCGAGGGAAACCTTTTTGTTCACGATTTATCTTAAACAAATACATAAATGAGCGATTAAATGCATGGGAATTATCTCATCAATTTCTCGAATTGCATTCTCTCTCGTCACTTTACCTTATCACTTTCTGTCTCTCTCTCTCTCTGTCTCTCGATGCAGCCGTGTCGAGTTCCCGATGCGATTCGCGGATAGCCAAAATCGCGGATGGGAAGTTCGTGAATAACGAGTGAATACTGTACGGATAATTACATGGCGACCCGAGTTCGATTCCCGCTCATGGCCAACACTGGTGACAAAAATCTGCACTGGTGCTGGGCATCCCCTACGTCGACTCAGCCTCAAATGGGTACATGCTTCGATGTGTAAACATCGCCACTGGGAAGACAAAAGCGGCCGGGCGTGGTGCTGCCCACCCACCCCCTCGTGTGCCGTGTTGGACTTCATTAGGTGCTACTCGCTAATAGCACTTTCTGCAAACGTCTGTGAAGGCTACGTTGGTGTATTTGCATATAAATCGCGGATGGCAAGTTCGTTGAATAACGAGGGATACTACAGAGCTACCTCTGAGATCCCTTCAAGACCGTAACAGGAGGATGATTTTGCCACAATTCTGACTGTCACCTGATGATGCTGGTTGCTGTAAACGTCACGGAACTGGAATTGTAAACGTTGCTGCGGGGTTACTCTCCAACACACCGGTGTGCTGGACGAGTAACTTTGTTTCACGTGACAAACCTTACTAATTTTTGCCGTGTCGGGTGGCGGCGGGTTTCACGACACATTTATATTTGCACGATCCAACCCATTAAAAAAAAACACCACCTCTATTATAGATCCCTGCAAGTTAACCGCTGATTCACGCGCACCAATAGAGAGGCAGCCAGCACGATCCCACCTGCATGGCAGCCAAAACGATAGATTTTTTTTCAATATATATAATTCGCAGAGCTGGAATTTTTGGGGTCAATAAACAGCGGAAGACAACGGTTCGTGTTGTGCAACCCATTGGGTGACCGAGTTGAGACCACCGCCTCCACTCGAGAATCCGGTTGAAGGCCAGGCAGCCGAAACCCGGATCTCAGACGTCAGCGAATTGACCTCTGTTTTAAGAAGGCATCAGTCAATTCATGATGATGAGTGTTTATTATTATTATACACGCGTGGAGGAAAGCTGAGCACCCGGAGAAAACCCCACATGCACGCGGCGCGAGGCGAGTGTGAGGGGGGGGGGGTTGGACACCCTCCATCCCCGTACAGATGGAAACAGATGGCGATTAGTCAGTCCACTTGCTGCACTCTAATTGCCTTCTCGCAGCCAATCTCGTCGGCGCGCACAGGGGAAGGGGAGCCGTTTTGTTTCTACTCCATCCGCAACATTCGCGCGGCGATCCCGAGTCCTGCGTCTTGAGTAACCCCCGGAGGAATCCGACGTGCTAGGAAGCTCCCACGGCGCCCGATTCAGAGAGAGACGTCGCGGCGCCAGCCTGCTTCGTGAGCTGCCGTCCAAACCCGTCCATCCGAGCGCCGTAGCGATGCGCGCTCAACAACAACAAAAAAACCCCACCCTTTGCTTAGCTTGAACCGAGGTTCTGGGCCGTACGTTGATTCTCCGTTTGCGAGATGAGATGGTTAAAGGCGCGGTGGGGAGGCAGGGGTGGATGGGGGGGTTAAGAGAAGGGGGTGATTTGACAAAAGCGGCGGGGCATGGAAAAGCGATGACACTGTGCGTTTCGCGAGTTTTCTCCCGTTCACGTCGGTAACTTTTTGTTCATATTTGTTTTTCCTTCTCTTTATTTTGTACCCCCTTTTGTTCTTGTTGTTGTTGTCGTTGTTGTCGTTGTATATGATTGCAGAGACGAACAGAAGGCGCAGAGAGGTTCCAAGTTGGGTGGAGGAGGGATCCATCAGGCAAAAGGGAGTGGCAGTGCTTACGTTAAAAAGTATTCGTAGAGAGAGACGGAGATGATGCGGCGCATGCAACCGCACTGCATGCCAACGGCGCACGATGTGATTCTTGCATGATGCACATTGCACAGGGTGTCCACAGAAGTATCGCGTGTCGCTCCGTTCATCATCATCACCATCATCAACATCATTACCAACATCATCACCATCAACATCACCGACGTCATCGTCGCCGCCGCCGTCATCATGCACGGCCCCTTTGTCAATCCGCTGCTGGATGAAGGCCTGCCCGATGCCGTGACGGTCCAAACATATTGAAAGCAAAAATACGCAAATTCCACATTTTAAAGCTGCAACGATTCACGAAAACATTTGAGGGCGCCCTCCCTTCGCGACAGAGCGCCTTAACTCCCCACGCGATATATACATACATACATAAATTGTCACTCCAAATAATTCAACCAGCCTTTGTTAATCCATTGGCGCGACAGAGGCCGTGTTGGTCGTGGTGGTTGTTTGACCGTGGAAGACAATGGTCGTGTCGTGCAACCCATGTGTCTCCACCACGCTGGTCAGTGCGGAGTGCTGAATAGGAGCCGTTAAGGTTGCCGTTCGCCACGCACGACAGCTGTGGCCGGGGAATCGAACTCAGGTGGCCGCGTTCATAACGCAGCAACGCACAAAGCCGCACCACCACTTTATTCTTGTGAGTTATTAATGTAACAACAATAGTCACATCTTGTTTTGAAGCTTTCGTGACTGCAGGAATCCATACTCTTTGGTTCTTTCGGTAAAGTCACGTAGGTATTTTATTTTATTTTTATACCTACGTGACTTTACCGAAAGAACCAAAGAGTAATAATAGTCATGGTAGATTTCAGCCCCCTGTTGTAAATCCACCGTTTTATAAAAGGCCACTACGCACCGTGTCGGAAGGGGGCTGTTGTTTCTATCGAACTCCACAAGAGAAGAGGAATGCAGGCACCCATTCGGACACCACTCGCACGGCGGATGTCAGCAGTGGCCAGGAGTTGAACTCGGCCCGCCGGGTTCACGGCGCAGTGCCGTTGAACCCGCTCCGCCATTGCCTCCCGCCCATTGTTAAAGCCACACAATTAAGGTGGCAATTCGAATTATGTTGATAAATACTACTACTACACAAAAGAGTCTTAACAGACTTTTGGGACTTTCAAAGTAGCACCGATGAAAGCCGGCAAGGCGCTCGAAGAGAGTGGATGGCCAACACCACGCCCGGCCGCCTTTGTCTCCCCAGTGGCGATGTTTACGACTGTCCGCAACCAGGTACTCATTTAAGACTGAGTCGATCTCGGGGAGGCCCAGGACCGGTTCAGATAAATCGTCACTGGAGTGTTGGCCGTGAGCGGGAATCGAACCCAGTGTGCTAATCATTGCGCCAACGCTCCCCGCGTATAATATCTGCACATGCACGCGCACGACGTCAATACGTGAGCCACTTGTTGGTACCACGTGACGTGGGGTCACTTCAGCGGTTTCAATTCCTTCACGTGGCCGATAAAAAGCAAATTACGTGGAAAGCGCTTGAAAAAATGAGCGCGGCTTATCGAGCAAGTCAATCTCATTGGCCGTACAAATAAATCGGTCCTAATGGAAATGTGCCGCCTTAGGTGCTTACCAATGGCTTGGTCCCATGGATGATTGGCGAAGTAAATATGCTATCGTATTATTATTATTATTGTTTTAAACCCTCCAAACACACCACGTGCATTAACAATCGAATCGAGATTTTTTTGTTTTGTTTAAAATAGTCTCAGGTGAATTGCCAAAAACAACGTCCGGTGCGATCATTCCAAGCGCGTCTACCGTACGCTACTGAAGAATCGTTCGAGCCGTGTCGGTTCAACGCCACGTGGGGAATACATTTTGCGAATAACCAAAAAAAGTGCGACCACGCGAGTTCATGCCGCCGTCTAATAACAAACGCTTTCATTCTGCATGATACTTCTACGGACACCCTTGACTATAGTATTATTTATGAAGTGTGTGTTTTCTCTATTTATGATCATTGCTTGCCCCGCCTACAATGCCACCATCGTTATCATCATCATCATCATCGTCGTCGTCGTTATTTATTCTTCTTATTCTTATTATTGTGTGCCCTTAGGCAACATCTTAAGCATGAGAAGCCATTTGCACAGATGCTGAGAACTTTTCTTTGCGTGGATGCATTTAAAAAAAAACAACCATTCAAAAGTACACGAACGATAATACTAATAATGAACGTGTAATTGGCAGTCCGTTTGTCAATGCGCTGCTGGACGAAAGGCCTCGCCACGCTGCGTCGGTCGTGCGTATTGTTTCACCATGTCCGAGTGGGGTGGAGGGGCGGGCGGGGGGGGGGACATAATTATGGCAGAAAAAAAATTGTTGATTGGATATAAATTACTTTTTATGCGATAAAATAGTATCTAAAATGAACGCATCTATTTGTTGACAATTTTATAACTTTTCGATTTTCTATGGCATTCAATGGCCGTCTAAAGATTGTCTGTGCCAGTGTGCTAACCACTGTGCCACCGCTCCACCAAATACTGATATAATAGTGCAAAGTAGAATTTTGGTTACGTTCTTTAAAAAAAAACCGCACCATTACATTGCGAAAAAAACTATTCTAACATTATAATCATCTTGTGATACCCACTAATTAAACATTTTGTAACGATGCATAGCATCAGCAATTAACATTGCTTCTTAAGCTCGCGATTGCATGCATCGGATCGCCTGCGTAGGATTCAATGTTTTTTAATTAATAGAAATAAAAACAATCCCGATAATTTATCTGTCCGGTTGGAGCGGCGGCGCAGCGGTGAGCGCAGTGCGCAAAAAAAATACTCGAAAAAACCGAGTCCAATTTCTGGCCACGGCTAACATGAGTGGCGATTGATATCTGAACCTGCCCCAGGCAAAATCCCCCCCTCCCCCCGCCCCCCGCCCCCCCACATTGACCAATGTGGTGAAGTATGGTGAAACAACCCCCCCCCAAAACCAACAGCATGGGGTGGGGGGGAGTAACCACTTTTTGACAACAGTGCATTAAGAAAGAGCTGCTACATTATGCATTCTATTACGATCATTATCGCTGATTTAAAACTTTCGTGACTGCAGGAATTCATATTCTTTGGTTCTTTCGGTAAAGTCACGTGGGTAGAAAATAATAAAATAAGGTGGATGAAGACCGCTTGTGTTGTGATCGAGATTTCGTGGGGTTTTTGCTTTTATTTTTAATTTAGATTTTTATTTTATTTTATTTGTATTTTCTATCTACGTGACTTTACCGAAAGAGCCAAATAATATTATTATCGCTGTTGCCGTTGCACGTCAATGGGTTTCCATGATCCCTCCAGCCACTAGAGGCCGGTACATTCATCGCGATGTTTAAAAAAAAAAACAGAAAAACGATTCTTCAATCGTATCGCGATCTTGAATCGCGACAATTTCATTCACTCGCAACGTTGGCGTGGTTGAGTGCACTGACGGGGAGCATAGAAACTGCCTTAACCATCATAGGTCACTCAACGCGGCCAGTTCTCTGTAATAAGCTCTTCGTGGTCCCCGTCATAGGAACGTGGAATCTCCACCACCGGCTCAGAACCACCAATAGGGACGAGTTTTCTGCTCGGAGCTCATGCAAAGTGCGTACACGCACGGTCTGCTTTGTCACTCCACTGCCGGATGAGGGCCTCCCCACGCCTTGCTGTTCGTTGGGGCTATTTGACCATACTTCACTACGCTGGGCAGTGCTCTTTGGTGAAGGCGGGAAGCATAAACCGTGGGAGCGTAGATGGAGTGCAGTACAACACTGCTTTTTGTTGCACTGTCCTCTGTTGCCCACCACGTAGCCCCCACCCTCCCCCACGAGTAGCCTATAGCGACCTGTCATGCATGATGGTGGCCAATCAAAGCACTACCCAGGCCTAACCCATCCAAACTTCCGAGATCTGTGCGCGGGTGATTTGGTCGTAGGTGACATTTGAGCGGAAGGTTTCAAATTCGTTTTCATTTTTCCCGTTTGTTTGAAGATGCAGGGAAGTAAATGGTTCAAGGTGCAGCCCTGCAATTGCTTGCTAACGCCACTGCTGCTGAAAGGGTCCTCTAATAGATTACGAGAGGGTACATATTTATTCATACTCGAGGAATCCGATGAGCTATGAAGCTCTTTTTCACACGTGTCAAGTTTAACGAGGAGGGGTTCATTTATTTTTTTGGGCAACTCTTTCATGCCGGCCAGACATCTTGCAAGAGGTGGGAGTCCCCACGTTTTACCCCACCACCACACGCCACCCGCCGAACCGACTGAACTGGAAGAGAGCGAGTTTAACACGTAGGCTTTCGCGACCAATATTATTCATAATAAAGGTTTTTGGGTTAGATCGCGTTATTTATAAATGTGTCGTAACCCTCTTCCACCCGACACGGCCAATCAGCAAAAAAGTGTCACGTTGACAAAATACAATTAGTTCACTACTTTAGCCCACCGGTGTGATGAAGAGTGAATCCACAACATTTATTGTTTGAATACGACGTTTCGCTGGTAATTACATCCAGTATCATCGGGCAATTCACCCTGCTGCTCTAATTAAGACCGGGAGCAAGTGAGGGCTCTACCATTCTGGCAAATTGCCCGATGATGCTGGATGTAATTACCAGCGAAACGTCGTATTCAAACTGTAAATATTATGGATTCACTCTTCAACACACCGTTGGGCTAAAGTAGTGAGCTATTTGTCTTTTGTCAACGTGACACTAAATTTCGATTTGAAGCTTTCGTGACTGCAAGGATTCATCTTCTTTGGTTCTTTCGGTAAAGTCACGTAGAATGAGAATGAAATAATAAAACAACACAATAAAATTTTCACGACGTTTCGGCCACAACGCAACCGGCGTTGTGGCCGAAAGAACCAAAGAAAACGTGACACTATTTTTGCTGATTGGCCGTGTCGGGTGGAGGAGGGTCACGACACATTTATGAATAACGCGATCTAGCCCAAAAACCTTTATTATGAATGGAAGAGAGCGAATTAACAAAAACAAAAAAGGGACATCGTGAACTCCCCCGTGGCATGAGGCCGGGGTCCCACGCCCACCGAACGATCGGCCGCGGCGCGACCGAAATCCGCCCGCACAGTCGACGCCTTCGGCGGGTTGCGAACCTTCTGGGTCGCAGGGGGCGGTGGCGCCGAGCTTGATTTCGCTTTGCAGCAGAGACGGAGCCTCGACCCGCTCCTCGGTCGGCCACTTTTGTAGCGGCGGCGGCGGCCACGTGGACGCGCGATTTTAGCCACGCCGCTATCGGGCGGGTGGGGGGGGGGGCCGTTGGCCGACCTCGAACGGCCACCCCCTTTTTGTTCAAATTTCCTCGCCGCGCCGGACGACCGCTCGCTCGGACGTGGGCAAAAGCGGTCGCGGGGCGAGCGGCGATTGAATGTTTTTTTTCGCGTGTCTTTGTTTGCGGGCGATTTAGCGAGACGCGGCACCGGTGATTTCGGACCGGGGGAGGGGGGGGGGGTTAGGGGTCGGTGGGAAAGATTTGGCGCAACACTTCCAGAGCGGGCCGTCAATTTACGCCTTTGGCAGCAGTCCGAGCGACGGGTATCCCCCACTTCGACACGTGTTTAGGAGGCTTTCGCGACTAACGGCATCCATAATAGAGGTTTTTTGTTGTTGTTGTTGTTGTTGGGTTAAGTCGCGTAAATATCTAAATGTGTCGTTAAACCCGCCATCACTCGACACAGCTCAATTAGCAAAGGTTTGTCACGTGCACAAAAAAAACGTGCCAATTCGTTACGGGTACAGCACACCGGTGCGTCGGAGAGCAAATCTGTGCTCAGATTGTAAATGTTGTGGATTTGCTCTCCAACACAGCGGTGTGCTGTCCTAGCAACGAATGGGCACGTTCTGTTTACGTGACAAACCTTACTAATTGGCCGTGTCGGGTGGTGGCGGGTTTAACGACACATTTACGCGATCTAACCCACCCCCCCCCCCCCCGTATTATGGAGGTATCCCCACGTTTAAAGTGTACGGATAACCAACGCGTTGATGTTGAAAGACGGTAGTCTGCTCCAAGCAAGGGGTCGAGAGATCTCTTTTGAAACGTCTCCACCGTAAGCATTTATTTATTTATTTATTCTCTTCCTCCTCCCGTTCACCAATTTACGACAATTTCAGCCGCGGAGTGGCGGGCTCTCGCTGCGACCCGTGCTCGGGTGAGCATTCCGACAGCTGCCTTACAATGCGAGCCTTCAAATAATTGCAAATAATTCGTGAGACACAGAAAGAGTACGAAAAAAAACCGCAATCAAACGTGAACAACTTCTGTTGCGCCGGTCGTGCACGTGACACCGAGGGCAAGGTTTTACGTGAGCAGGCAACCAGGCCCCTCCCCCGATACTCAACTCAGCCTTGAAATCAGCAGCCGATGCTGCCAGTGTGCGAACGGCATTGGGTAGAGTGACCAGGGGTGGGGAAAGTCCGGCCCGCGGGCCGTATGAAGCCCGCGGGCCGTATGAGGCCCGCGGGCCGTATGAGGCCCGTGAAATCATTTTGGTCTGCTGGCCCTGCCAAGGCAAACCGCAGGCGGGACTCGAAATTCAACGAATCTAGGAGAGCAAACCTGGAAAAGTAGTTGCGAGTAGCAACAACATCGTCAATACCAGCTAACATCATCACACGCCTCACCGAAGAGAAGCAGTTCCAGCCCATGGCATTAGGGGTGAGTCAATTAAACGTTTGACCAAATCTAACGGGCGAAATGTTTAAGTTGATAATTTTGTATGGCACCGCGAATGATGTGGCGGGTTAGCGCGCCGTGCGACGAACCTGGCGATCCGAGTTCGATTTCCGCTCGCGGCCAACGCCGGTGCCACGATTATCTGAACCGGGTACCTGGGCCTCCCCTAGGGTCGACTCAGCCTCAAATGAGTACCTGGTAAGGTGTGCAAAACATCGCCGCTGGGGGAGACGAAGGCGGCCCGGCGTGATGCTGGCCACTCATCCCACTCGTGTGCCGTGCCCGCCTTCATAGGTGCTCGCTAAGCGCACTTGTCCCAACAGTCTGTTAAGGCTATACGGGGGATATTTGCCTTCACTAGATGCAGCTGCGCTTACGCAACACATTGACAGTCAAATTACCCATCGCTTTACAAAACCATTAATATTTTAAATGTTGCA